CCTGACAGATGCATTGTTTCCTCCGCGCTGCTCCGCGCCTCCCCGCGCAGGCAGCCGCGGCCAGCGCCACCACCCCAGGAGGCGGGCGGGCGGTCAGCCTCCCTGCTCCGCGGTGCTCCGCGGCGCTCCGCGCTCGTCCTCTTTCCCCCGCTCCCTGGGAAGCAAAGGTCACCGCTTGCGCCCGGTCCGGTTCCCGGCCGCTGCCGAGCTGGAAATCAGGAAGCAGCGTGCCCTATTTGTCAAGTGTTTGACAGCTGAGTTCATTAAGGCTTAAATAAGGAGAAATAAAAGTAAAAAATATTTACGTACCGGGCGTCTCTTTTTCAGCAGCTACCAAAGAGCTAGGTGTGCAGGGAGAGGAACTGCACCCTTTGTATATTATATTCTTGGGATCTCTTCAGTTTTCAAGTCTGATAGAGTCCTTTGCTTGGCAGATTAATGACGACTCCGTGTTTCTTAAGGGACGTGCTGAATTAATTATTTCGCAAATCACGTGGTCAGGACTTGTAGAAATCTATTCTTATCATCTTCCTTGCACTTTGAAATTCTGCCTGTTATGACTGTTCCTAGCAAGATTATTTTGGTCTCTAGGCTTGGGGGGAAGGAGGAAAAAAAAAAAAAAAAAAAAGGAAAAGGAATCAGGGGAAAGGGCTAACAAACATGGCCGTTGGAAGCGGTGTGGCTCTGCACCGAGAGGTCCCTATTTACCGTACTGTACAGTGAGTGGGGTTTGCTATTGACTCTGCCTTTCCTCTTCATTCTTACCTTAACGACTAGTGGTGATATAATATACAGAACTGTATTGATGTATCGGGAGTAACAGGAGGAGCTATTAAACGAGAGAGAGAGAAAGTGTAATCACAAAATATGCCTCAATATTTAAACTTAGCGACTGTGTGCTTAGAAAGGCACCCTCACCCTTCCCTCCACACACTCGGGCAGTAGAGACACATGTCTTCTGCTGTGCACCCTGCTCCTTGCCTGGGCTGAGCCAGAGACTGTGTTTTTGGACTCGTGCCTTGACCACTCTCCAGGAGAGGACAAGCCCTCAGTGACAAGTACTTATGACAAAAATAGTGCAATCGACTTCTCCTGGCTAGATGTATGTGTTATTGTCTGAGGTGCTTACACAGGGGAGAAAAAAATGTTTGCCTTAGTTGCACGGGAAAGTTTAACATCTCCAAGTTTGTGTTTTCTCGTGATGTTTCCTTTGTATCCACTGTCAAAATAAGGATTACTGCTCAGGAAAAGCTACTCTCTACATTGCAATTTCAAATATCCGTTTCTTTCTTGAATTGGTTCCTTCCAGGACTCACCTAAAAGGCACACATCTGCGTGGGGATCGAGGTGACTTCAGGTGTGGCTCCTTGCCTCCTACCACACAGACAGAAATCCGGGAGTCATTCTAGGAGGGCTTGTTAAATGCAAAGCAGCAGCAAATGGATGACAGGCACTTTTAACTGCAGCCTAAAAGTAAATATAGACTCCAGCTTGGCCTAGAGTCACACCATTATGGCTGGGGCAAACAGCAAACCTGTTCAAAGGGACATTTGGAAGGATGCTATGCAGAGTCACTCATCTTTTAACACTGTAATGATGGGAGGGACCAGCATTTTCACAGAAGAGAGATCCACCTTGTAAGCACTGTTTGTTCAAGGTACAAACCAGAATCTATTTCGCTACACCTTTTATTATTTCAAAATTATATGGAGGTCTTACATCAAAACTACAGGCGACAGTTAGTATAAATAACGCTTTAATCAATGGCAGCAAAACGTCAGCAAAGTCTATAAAAAGCATCACACTTTAACAGAGATGAGAGTATTTGCTGAACAATGCGACCGTTTAACAAAGGCTCCAATGCACAACGTTCACCCATGATAAACAAAAATAACCAGCTTCACTTCATACACAAAATATCTCTGGGGAAGGGTTAAAACCACTAAAAAATAAACCTCAGGTTCGTTTTGCACAGGAGATAAGAACTAGTGGGTGCTCCTGGTCACTATTACAGACATTCCTGACCCATCAGAGCATTGGCAGCTGAAAACTACTTCTTTTTGGTACTTTCTGCCTCCACTTCAAGTATTCTCCGATTTTACAGCGCGATTACACCTATGTAAACCTATAGTGCCCCGGCCTCACTCAAAGAGTGCTTGCAAACAGGGTTGTAAGAGCTGTGCCTGCTGAACCCAACACTCGTCCCGGAGTTATTAACATTTCAAAAGACAATGAGACAAATTCTGCTCGCAGCTACATCCCTGTTTGACTTCAGTGGGCGGGGGAAGGTAATCTGGGAGCAGAAGTTGGTCCTTTAACTTCGGGAGCCATCTCGCCATCTCGGTCGATTAGAAGCAGCACAAAGCAAGGATTTGCTTATCCAAGACCATTATTTTCCAGAACTGTGCCACAGATGCCAAAGTAGGTGTCTCTCTCTCACACACACAACACATTTGCCCTGCTCCCAGCTAACTTATCATAGACTTAAAGTAAACAGCGGGAGTCCGGCTGGGGAATTTTCAAGAAGAGCAGCTAGAGAGGTTTTATTTCTCCCCCGTCACCTTCCTCCCACCCCCCCCGCCCCCCTTAATTTTCCTAGATTCGTATGAAGAGTGAAAGGATGGCTTTGAACAGCTCTGGAGAGGAAAGGCCACTACCGCAGGAACCTGATGTAACAAAACTTGAAAACTTGTCTCAGGAATTCCCTCCTCAAGCGCTGCTGCTAGCTGCTCTCCATACCAGAGAAAGAGAAGGGTAGTTTGGGTCCAAAAGGTTAAGGGTTTAGAGGTCACTCTTCCCGGCTGAAATACAACTAATCGAATAGAAAATTTGTCCTCTGGGTGAACCTGTTCCTGCAATTTAGCCGAACTTCAGTAAAATACCTTTTCAGCTTCTCAACGTGAAGGCGTCAGAAAAAAAGACGTCTTTACTATGTATGAACTCGGTGCTTTTTGTCATAGAAACAATGATGCGAATAATGCCGGAATATCCATCTTTAATATCACGACGTGGAGACATTCAAGTATTGCCATGTGCAAGTCTGAGAACTGGGCTAACCCTAAGGAAGAACAAAGAGTTTTCTCCAGGCTCTAAAACAAAAGACCAAGTCTTAAAGACACTTTGCGGACTTCTAGGGATGAGAAAAAGGCAGAAATTAACTGCTGGCCACAGTTAGCGCTGCAGAATACACCCCTGTTGAAAAGTTTGCCTTTTGTTTTCGGATTCATTTAATCCCATTTTGGCCACTGTTTTCCCGAGCGAGCCCAAAAGCCTTGAGTTCTCGATAGTAAGTACCCAGCCTGGAGAAGGGCACGTTAACTCAGCCCCTGCTTTTCCACCTCCCTTCAGTGTTTGCTATGAGTTTCCTTCTTTGCCCCTTTTCTCTTTAATAAAGGTATCACCTCGTTACAATTTCGACGATATGGTTCCTCTCCCCGGCTGCCCTGAGGGTATAGGTGATAAGGTCTGAGCTTTAAAATCGCCTGAGCGGAGGTGTAAGTGGCTGAGGGAGCTGGTTTGGTTGGCTTTCGTAGTTACAGCGCACTAAAACTTTGGCAACCAGCAGTCAGGAACAAATCAGTGAGTATTAGACGAGCTCTATTCCCATGCAAGCCTTTCCTCTTTCCATGAAAGCAACTTGCTAAGCTTTCCAACCGTTGCAGTCATGTGTCATGGTTTGCTTAAAAACAATCACTGTTCTTAAACCAAAAAAAACACAACAACACCAAAAATCTAAACAAACCCAAACCACAAAAATCCAACAGACCAAAATAAACCTAAACCAAAACAAGGCAGCAGCCAACATAGCCTATCTCTCTTTAGCAGAGAAGAAAATTGAAATCTGATTGAAATAATGTATTCAGTTTTCAGTTTTGAATGGCTCAGGTTATATCAGAAATCACATTAACTTTTCACTTTTTTTTTTTTTTTTGTGGTGGTTTTATTGTCTGTTTCGAGTTTGGTGGGATTTGGTTGTTTGGGTTTTGGGGGGGGTGTTTTTTGTGGTCTCCCCTCTTTTTTTTTTTTTTTTTTTTTTTTTTTTTTTTTTTTTCATTTTTAAATGAGGTATTGATGGTTTAAAGCATAGCGCTGAGTAGCAGACTTTGGAAACAGATTTCAAGCCTGTAAGCTCTGGATGGCACACGGTAAGGAGCAGGGACGCTTTTCCCATTCACAAAGGAGGGAAATAATAAAAACTAAAAAGGGGGAACAAGAAAGTTGTGTACGTTCAAGACAAGTAAACATTACATATGTGATCATGAGACTGGGAAGGAGAAACACTGTATTTCAGCTCCTCTTCCCCGTTTTTGGTTTGACTATTTTTCTTTTTGTTTTCACTCTTCTATGTAAAGAATAAATAAATACCCTAACACTATCAGAACATAAAATAACCCGTTTTCACTTAATTCCTATGCACACCTTCTGAGACGCTATGGAAATAAGCAAGTATTTTCATCACACCAAGAAAGGTAAAGCAGCGCAAAAAAAGTTCACATTTACTAGTCTTTATGTTCAAATAAAAGACTATACTATGGATTTCCTGTCCTCAACTTGCCCAAAATGCATCCGTGCCCAAATTACATGGGATAAAAAGACAATTAAAAGTATAAATCCCAGAATAAAGCATCCAATCTTCACTTTTGAATTCAAAACTGAAACACAGGACAGTTTCTTTTTCAATGATTTATTACTTTTTAAGGACAGAAGGTCTCATTTAATATTTTCCCAAATTCCCACTGCCTGCGTGATGGTTTGGTTTTTTCTCTTCCCTTTCTCTTTCTTTCCCCTTTTTTTGTTTTCCTTTTTTAGGTTGTGCTAGAAGAGGCAAATAAAATAAAGTCCAAAGTAGCGTCATTTTGTCTCCTTTGTACAACAGTACCTTAAAGAAAGATGACAGTTTCTCGTGTCCTTAGCTGCTACATGCAGGTTCTGCTTGGGCAGTGTCAGTTATGTACAGTACTGGTCAGAAGCGAAGGATGAAATGGAAAATTTCACCTCTTCTACAAAGTTGTCAAGTCAGTCTGATGGTCCTTGGAACCAGTTTGTAAATGGGGGTTTGAACCAGATGAAGAAGACCTGCCCTTCGTGTTGGGCAGTTTGTGATCTTTTTTCCACTTCATTCTTCTGTTCTGAAACCAGATCTTGATCTGGCGCTCAGAGAGACACAAAGTGTGGGCTATCTCGATACGGCGGCGCCTGGTCAGGTACCTGTTAAAATGAAATTCTTTTTCCAGTTCTAGGACTTGCTGTCTGGTGTAAGCTGTGCGGGAGCGTTTAGGTTCCCCTCCGTTGTAATTTGGATTCACTGGGAAAAAAATACGGACAACTTTACAAAGCTAATCTTGATTTGCCGGTTCGACTTTACAAAAGAAAACCTTATGAGCTGCGAGCATGTGGCCGGGTTGGATTCGTCCCAGTTGCTTACAATGGACGGGCTGCTCTCCCCCACGCTTGAGGCAGGCACTACGGGCACACGCAGCTAGGTAGTCTGGGAGCCTCTAGCAGGCTCCTAAAATGGAGTTTTATCCTGCACGGCAAAGCCCCGCGTGGCCAACAGCCTATTTCCTCAGCAATAAAAATTTATGGCGAGTGTAATTGGCCACCTCGGCTTAAAAAGCTCGTCCACGAGCCTGGCAGGGACTCGGGCAAGCGCCGCTGAGGACGATCGGAAGCAGGGTAGAAGAGCAAAGTAAGAAGAGGATCCTTACCCGAGTTTACATGGACTTTCTTCATCCAGGGATAAACTACTGCTGGCTGCTTAACTGCGGAGCCGTTTGGGGGTTTGAGGGCCGGCTGCTGGCTGCAGGCTCGCGAGTTGGACATTGGAGGCGGTGGACAATGCTCTGCTGGGCCGGGGAAGTGGCTCGCCGGGCCGGATTGCTCCTGTCCGTGACCCCGCGGCTGCCCGGCAGAGCCTTGGGCATTGCTACAGCTAAAGGGCTGCTCGCTGTAGTTTGACCGTGGGTAGAGTCCCTGGTGCTGGAAATCAGAGCCCTGCGAGGCACTGTAGTACTCGGCCCCCTGCTCGCCTAGGTAGCTATTCTGCAAATATTCCTCGCAAGGAGGAAATTTGGGATCCACATACTTAGAGTTCACCATATACGAACTCATGGCCATTAATTTCTGAAGGTAGAAAATACTAATTTTTCTCGTGTTGTCTTTTTTTCCCCTGCCATAGAGCCCTCCTACTTGCTGTCAACTGAATAAAGTTAGGCGGGCATGTGACCGGCCCGGCCAATGGGGAGCCGGGCGCCCACCGCCGCATTTCCCCGCATTTCCCCCGATTCCACTCAATAACATCCCTCTAACTGAGTGGCCCCCCTCTCCGGCGGGCCGCACCCCCAAACCAGGTAGCAGAGGTGTAGGGGTGCCCCGGGGAGGAGGCCGCTGCCCTGCCCACAGCCTTTTGTCTGAGCCGGCTTCCCCCAGCCCCGGGGGATGCAGTCCCGCCGCCTGATTTACCAGCCAGCATCACCACCGGGGCTTGGTACCTCGCCTTAAATAAAATTTAAAAAAAAAAAAAAATCGAAAGGAATATACGGAGCGATGAGCTGAAGCGGGGTTAAAAGGGAGGAAACCGGTAAGCAGCAGAGGAAAAGAAAAGCCATCAAAGAAGAGGGTAATATGATGTACAATAGATCTGTCCTGTCTTTGTCTCGCAGAGGTCATCCAAAAGTTACCAGAATTTAGTTCTGCTGAATAAAATTAGGCAATCAGTAACTTCTCATTCACTTTCAAGCCTCAATATATACGTGTGCATACGTATGCGCGCACAGACGCAAACGCCAACGTATAGATATAAATCTATACATGTGTGTATGTAAAATCATACAGATGGCAAGAAACAGTTCACTTTTAACTACTAAATTTCAATCAGCTGAACTGGAGACGTCATTTAATTAGGTTAAAAGTATCACGGGTTTAATTTGATAAATTCGGTCTTCATTCATCAATACCATTCCTGGAGCACAAATAAATACATTCCAGTGAGACGAAGGCTGCTTTTGCTGCTGTCGTAAATATTTTGGTGCGATCTGGACCCTTGACAGGGAAATTTTGCTAACTCTGACATATCTAACTAATTTATGAGTATCTTTTAAAAGAGTCATTCACTGATTGGTAGATAATTTCTTTCTTCTCCCCTTCCCCCCTTCCCCGAAAATTTGTAACTTCTGGTGAGATTAACTGTTTAAATTCACAGATTTTCAGTGAAAGTTAGGACTGAAAAACAATTGAAGTTTTAAAAAAACGTCCTAAAACCCAGCAATTAGGAGCGAGGCAGCAAAACTTTTATAATTTTTGAATGTTCAGCACGCACATGCCTCTTGATTCCACCAGTATTTAAACTTCTAACCATTTGCAGAAAGGTGAAGTTTTTGCATCGACCATATATTCCCCTAGAATCGAATCTGTGACTATATGAATATCACACAAATTCGGTTCTACAGGGTATATATAGACAACGTAATAACATTCTGTTTTCATCTATAATATAGCAGGTCTTTGCAATTCTCTTAGTCTCTTACTGTCTTCTGAGGAATGCAAACTATTCTGCTGGGACTCAGTTCTGAAATACGGATTTGCAGGAAGGTGGGATTTCGGAAAAGATTCGCGCTTGTTATAATTGCTGCAATAGAGCTATATGAGTCTCCACCAAATCATAACGACGAATTTCGACTACCAAATCCTCAGGAAGACCATACCGCTCTCTTTAAATTCTCTGCCGTTTACGTACTCTCTACCGAAAATGGACCCGATCGGTCAAATTGTGCTATTTGGAATAATAATGGTTAAAGTAATTTAGAAAGGAGTCTTTAACTGTTTAGACTAACACGAATCCGAAGAGATACTCCATAATCAGAAATTCCCCCACGCCCCAAATAAAAAAGAGAAAAAAAAATGGCAAAAACGAAACAGAAGTAAAACAGCCGACAACAGAAACAGCAGTTGGTGAAAAAGATGAGATTAAAGGCTGGAGTGAGTTGCTCTTGGGAAGCAGAGAGTTTCCAAATTTACCTTCATCCCATTATGCTGGTCTAGCTATTATCCCCACGAGCTGCCCGCGAACCGCAGCCTCACACCCTCCCAGGTTTTCCCCGCCGTAGCGTTTATGGTGAAGGGCAGGGCGAGAGGTCAGCCGAAATCATTTACAAACATATCACAAAGTTTCATTATTTTTACTTTGTCGACAGCGGCACACAGGAGTACAAAAGTTCATGAATTGTGTCTGACCCAGCTCCTCACTGCTGTCCTGCGGTCAACCTCTTCTCCTTCCACTATTTAAAACAGGCACCATAAGGACAAATAATGGTGCGGGTGTGATACATCCAACCACTGCGGAGGGCAGATTTGGGGGTGTTGTGCTTATCCGAGCAGTGTGTACCGGTTTGTTTGCCTGGCTCCAACTCCCAATTGCCTGATCTGGGAGATCCTATTTTTAAACATCTGGTTTCTTACCACTGCGGTGGTGCCTTTTCCACAGCAAGTGCAACTCAAAACGATTTTATGTCCTCAACCACCCCCACGGCTTATTTAAATCTCCACACAACTATTTTAAGCGTCTCGCCCCGCTTTCCCCTCCTTTCTCTGAGGGGAGGGGGATACCCCCCGCCTCCGCGGGGGTTATTAACCACCAGGCTGAACTGGCAGGGTAGCATCCCCCGCCCCCCAGTGCGAGCTCGCGTTTGGGGCAGCCCCCAGGAGCGGACAAGCCCACCGAGGGCTGCCCAGGGAGAAGCGAAGGGTCTGGGGAAGCAGCAGCTCCCCGCTCTGCTTAATACTACACATTTTCATATTTGTTAGACGCTGTGACCTGCGTTTCACCTTATTGCACGACTTGCTCAGACAGGTCAAAGCCAAAGAGTTATTGATGAACAAAAGCGTTATATATTCACCTCCTGTTCTTCTGCCCATACAAAATACTTTTGATCTATCAGGCTTTTTGTATTCTGGTTCGTAATCAGTATGCTAAATGTACGTTAGCAGAAAACAAGTAATCCATACGTCTAAGGCCGGCCTCGGAATAAAATGCCAAGGACGTCTACGTATTGCAGGGCTGAGTTACGAGGGGAGGAAAGTTACCTATGGAACATAATTAAAACTGCAATGCTGAAGGCGATTCTTTAGTTTGTATCTATAGGGCTTGAAAACCAACATAGCCACGTAAGGCAAAAAGACAAGGAGAAGCTAGGCACAGGCAGCGAGATAGATTATTTATCAGGAAGCAGGGAGAGAAAACGGGGAAATGCAAACAAACACAGTTCCTCTCCTTCTACATGCCCCCAGTCAGAGCGGGACTGGCAGAAGCGGAGAAGGCAATGTAGAACCTAATCTCTAAATATTGCGATATTTGGAGAAAGCTTTCTTTCCCTCTTTGAGGGACGAGCCAGTCTCAGTCTGGAGCACCAGGATTGATGCTCGTAGCTCCTCACTAGAGCCGGAAAGGTTCAACAGCATTTCCTGATGCTCACTTATCTACTGCCCTCCTCTCGGTCCCCCCAAAGCAGCTCAAGCAGGACCATCTGGGGTGTGAAAACCCCTACAATAAAAGATTGCCCTCCTAAGCTCTGATACCCTTTCCCATGCCTTTACAGCATTTAAATCCACGTTAGAGCCTTCCCTGCCCGGAGAGACCTAACAGCAGCGGGTCAGCTCTATCGCCCGCAGGACTTGGATGCAGCTGGGCTGTCCCGGCTGGCCAGCACTGACTGCTCCCAGCTCCCGCCACCTCTTTCACCCAGTCACCAGGCTGTATCAAAAGAGGGTAACATCAGAAAGCAGGCACAGCTCTGCTTGGGATCCCATCTGGAGAAAAGGGTGGGAGCAGCCAAGGTTATGAGGCGCTGGGACACAGCGTGATCCGTCCGGGTTCTGCACGGGGAGGCGCTGTACAGTCCCACCGAGTTGAAATGGAAAAGCTGCTAATTGCCATGGAGTGCTTAAGAGCAGGAGGACACCTGTACAGCCCTGTAATAAACCCCCAGGAGACTGCACCTCTGCTTTTGATCCTAGCCAGAGTTATGACATGGTACCACAAACCAACTCCACAAGAGCCTTCACATGCTGACATGGTCGTTTTCTTTTTTCTTTTCTTTTCTTTTTTTTTTTTTTTAATTAATTTATTTTTGTTGGGTGGCAGTATTCATCAGGGATCATAATTTTTAAATTTTCCAGTCTGAATGGAAGAAACAGGATTTTCAAGCAACTCAGACTCTACAAGAAATAAGAGGTTACTTACCGTGGATGTCCTTCCATGCTGCCGAACCTGTTGCAATAAAAACCTTTGTTACTGTTGTATTCCACATACGGGTGATATTTCTGGAGAATGGTTACAAACCACGTTTGATAGATGAAGGCAGAGAGGAGTTGGTGGTAAATCCTGTGAGCAGCGGAGTGGTGGGATGGAAGCCCCTTCCAAATGAGGACCACGTTGCATTCAGGCAGTTTTTTATGAACACACGCTTTCCCTTTGCCTGGGGTGTGATCTTTCACTTTTAATATTCATAGTCTAAATTTTATACCGGATAATTTATAAAGACGTGAAGAGTCAGACCTCCCTCTTTCACTGATGGAAAAGAAGAATAACAAAGGCCCTTTTTTTTTTTTTTTTTTTTTTGGTCTGTGGCAATCCAGTCACTTAGAAATTAAATATTCAGATCACCTTTGCTAAACCATCACCCACAAAATGTCACAATATGCCACGCAACATCATATCCATGTAGAGCACAGAAAGAACTATAGTTTTATTAGAACAAACATCCGATTACTCTAAGATAGATCCCTTTTAAGATCACCTAATTAACTTATCAGTAATCACGAGACATACATCTTTGTTTGCACTATAGAGGGATAGATTTAACTTCAACTTTCCTTCAAGTATTTTAATAAATATATTCAAAGATCACAATAAGGAAAACAAAACACGTGCTTACTCTAATGCTCCTGAAAAGCGTAGTATATTGAAAAGTAAATACTAATGGGGAATTCTCTAAGCTATTTTTCACCTCCTCTATTGCCTTCCTACAATATCTTGGAGAGTTATTGTTTTAGACACAGGGCAATTGCCTAGGTATCAATAGTTCACTAAATAGAGCTTCCCAAGACCGTTTTTAGTTGATTTTTTTTGTTTGGTTTTTTTTTAGTTCTGCCCACTCTGGATAACATACAGAGCCTGGGAGGAGAGTGGACTAATAGGCACTAAACATTCTTTT